GCAATCATCAGGTGGTTTCACGATGTAATGTTTTAAATTTTTTAAAATAATTTTTAATCTGTTTTTAACGTGTTCTTGTCATGTTTTGTATAAATTTTGACTATTGTGCAACCTATTCAGCTCTCACCATGTTACTGGACGTTTCCCTCATCCTATACGAAAACAACAATTAGCAACATTCTCACATACTACTCTCCTGATGATGATGGCAAAGTCCATTGAAAGCTAGAGAGAATTAAAAAAAGTATAAAGAGTCCTCTTTGCTTAAATCTTGTCGAAGTACCCAACAAAAAGCGGAAGCTTTAATTTTTCACCTAACTGGTCTAGACGACAATGACCACGTCTCAAGTTATATATATATATATATAATTCAGCGCTTCAGGCCTGAAGGCCCATGGCTTCTATCTTTTTGACAACTTCTTTCCACGCTTTTCTATTTTTGGTCTTTTCCTCCCAGTCTTTGTATATCCTCTTTGAAACTTTCCAGCCACTGCTTCTTCGGTCTTCCTCTTCTTCTTCTACTACCTTCTCCTCCAAACAAAACTTTTTTGGCATTCCTATGAGACGGCATTCTGTAATCGTGTCCTAACCAGCGCACTCTTTGAGCTCGGGCTTTTTGTATTATACTGGGTTGGTTATACATCTCCATCAGTTCTTTATTAGTTCGCTTTCTCCATGTACCATCGTTGTTTTTTGTGCCCCCATATATTTTACGTAACATTTTTCTTTCCCAGCGTTCCAATTTCTGTACGTTTTTCTGGCTTAACACCCAAGCTTCATCGCCGTAAAGTACTGATGGTTGGATAACTGATTTATATATCCTTTCCTTTGTTTTCCTTGATATCCACCTCGAGTTTATCATCTTGCTTAAAGCCCCCATTGCTTTACTCCCTTTTGCTATTCTTTTTTCAATTTCTAAATCTTCTTCTGCTTTATCTGTTATTGTGACCCCTAGATATTCAAATTGATTCACCTTCTCGAAACAGTATTCTCTGCAACTACTTCTTATTGTTAACTTTCCTTCATTGCTTCCTCTCATTTCAAGGTATTTTGTTTTGTCTTCATTTATATGAAGCCCAAAACGTTTGGCAGTTTCTTCTAACCTTCTAAACGTCTTCTCAAGTTCTGCTTTGGATCTGGTTATTATTGCTATATCATCGGCATAAGCAATCAACTGATGTTTTCTATAGTAAACGACTCCGTCGGTTTGTATACCACAATTACGTAAAATAGCTTCCAGTGTAAAGTTAAACAATGTTGTAGATAGCGGGTCCCCTTGTCTCAGGCCTCTCGTTACGCCAAAAGCTCTAGATGTTTTCCCTTCCAATGTGACTTTGTTCATTGTCCCGTTCATTGTCATTTTGACTAACATAGCAAATATCACTGAATTTATACACATGCAGTCCAATACACACAATCATTCATGTCAAGCTATCCTGGTACTCAACCACACACCTTCTCGGAGTATATTACATACAGGCTATCTCGGTATTTCGCAACCAACAAAGCATGATGGGAGCTGACTGGCTGCTTGCAACATGGTCATTGAGCTTGCCGTATCGTTGAGTCATTCCTCCATAGATGGAAACAGCGCTCATATCAAGCAAACTCGGAATGTACTATTTCCACACTAGGAAGCAACTTGGGATTTTGTCGTTTTTTTACGTTTTTTAAGTTTTTTACGTAATAGTCCTGCGGCGTGAATACTGTTTTAGCGTACAAGTGGCAGTTGACAATTCCTAGATGGCGGCTGGGTGCCATTCTGGAACATTTTTCATAGATATAATGTGTGATGTCTCATTTTAAATCTCGTTATTATTATAAATACAGGCCACTATTTCCCAAAATGGCGATCTGGCAGGCTGTCAGAGCTGTGCCTTTTCAACATTGAGTATTTTATACCATAACAGTCATTCATCGATACCCATTTTCATCTCTTGGAGGAGTCTATCCGAATGTGCAAGAAAATATGGAAAGTTGAATTGTGAAAATCTGTCCGTTTTTTTAAGCTGATCGACCAACATTTCATTGCACATCCAGATAGATCCTTCCAAAGGAAGCAGATTGATAACGTTTTGATTATTGACTGTTAAGTTATAAGCGATTCAATGTACGAAAACGCTTAACTTTGTATATCCTGGTCCAGCCGCTGTCTTTAAATGTTTGACTGTTATTTTTGCGTTAAAATATAGTGTTTATGTGCGAATTTAATCTTTCAGAATTTCATCTTGTCAACTTGACTAGTTCAAAAAATAATCAAGTGGACGTTTCTCTAAAGCAGTGTAGTCTTCATCAAATACAGGGTGGGCCATTTAAAGTGGAAGCATTTGTTTATAAAAAATACATTAAAAAAATTTTTTTTTGTTCATTAGAAAAGTATTTTATTTTGATCCAAGGATATTTGTTGTAATTACTTTTCAAAAATGATATCGCGCAAATGGCCACCTCTGGCCTTGATAATCAAATGTGCCCTTTTTTCGGCGTTTTCCATCACGTTGGCCAATATTTCGTCGGATATGGCGGCAATTTCTTGACGAATGTTGTTTTTGAGGACAACTAGAGTCCTTGGCGTGTTAGCGTATACCTTGGATTTCAAATAGCCCCACAAATAACCCAACTAACAATTATCACTCATATTAGAGTTGCAAGAATGATTATACAGTATTCCTTAAACAGCATTGTAAGATCATTGGCAAAACCCTCTTAGAACAGCTATACAAGCCGAATGGGCACACCTAATAGGACACTTCAGTCATTTAAGAGGTTGTATAAGGGCTGCAGGTAACAGTTATAAAACAAAGGTGTAAGCCTCTTGCAGCCGCAATAGGACATTTGCGTCAATGCAAGATTCAGTTTTTGTCAACTATACAACTATTCTGTTACGTGATTTTACTTTATTGCAACCAAACTATTTCTTATGTTTTGTATAGACGAAGTGAAGAGTATATAACTAACACGACATTACAGTATTCTTGTTTACTTACATATAGGCCATTGTGAATTTCATACGCAGGTATATGATAACTACTACACTGTGATATAGGGCTATTGAATTACTTGCGCAGCAAATTTTATTGTGATTATCGTGCAAATTAGTTACCCAATTTCTACGGGCTTCGTATTTGATTCATATTTTGACAATGATCAAAAGTATGTCTAGATTTTTAAGATGGAAAACTGAACTTATCTGCATTAAATCTTCCACAAATCCTATATTTAGACACAATTACACTAATTTTTATCACTTTATATCTGTAATTTCGAACTGAAACATAATTATTTAATATTAAATAGAGGAATAAATCTTTACCCAATATGGCGGGTGGTTGTGCACAATCATGGCATCGTCCATGTTGTCTTTAGGTTATAACAATATTTTGGTGTTGCCTGCAGGTGTTATACAACAATTTGACAAATGTCTGAAATGAAATACCGACAGAGTCGAATGATTTACCCAGAATTTGTACCAGATCTATATCTTCTGTTTGAACAGTTGATAAAACCTTTTGAACCAATATGCATGCGTTGTTTGTCTTAAAACATTGGTTATGGCATTTTAACAAAAAATATGACAGCAGAAAGTTAGGTTACGGTGAAGTTGTTTACCAACATATTTAGCATATGTACAGCCTTTAACAGTTACTAAGCAACAGTTGCATAAGTGGTTCCGTTGGGAGAAATTTGTTGGCTAAAGTAGTAGATTGCACAGCAAAACCACAAGGCTCGGGTTTGTTTTATAAACGTTACCATGGATGCCACAACACAACCATTTTGACGAACTTGCAAATATGCCGTATAAAATAGTTGTATAAACGTTTATGCAACAGTTAAAAATTTGCCCTATAAGATGTTGTATAACTATGCTATAAGAATATTTTAAACACGTCATTTTAGAGCAAATATGTTGCAGAAAGCAAATTTGCATTCCACACAACATTAAGCCAGCATTTTGGAGTTCAGGCAACAACAATAGAGAGCTTTTATGGCTGAACGGTTCTTTTACCAAAAGCTTATACCACTACATTGCTAGTTGGGAAAAGTCTGGTGGCGTCAAATCAGGTGATCTCGGTGGCCAGACAAAATCGCCATTTTTCGATATCAGTCGTCCAAGGTACAATGGTCGCAATAAATTGATTGCTGCTTGACCTGTGTGGCATGTGGCGCCATCCTGCTAGAACCAGTAATCGTCCATGTCATTTTCACAAACAATTAGCCTCAAAAAATTCGTTATCATGGCTCGATAACGCTCACCATTGACGGTGACCGCAGCTCCATCATCGTCTTCAAAAAATTACGGCACGATGAGCATATTCGCGCACAAACAGTAACTTTTTGGTCATAAAGATGCTGCTGTTCGATTAATTGAGGGTTTTTGGTAGCATAAAATCGACAATTTTGTTTACTTACGCCTCGATGTAACGAAAGATGTGCCTCGTCGCATATGATGATTTATCGCCAAAAGTCATCTTCATTTTCGGCCATGTCAATGCTCCACCTAGCAAAATCAAAGGACAATCAGCTGGGGTTAATTGATGAGCCATTTAAACTTTGTATGGAAACATCTTCAAATCCTTACGAATTATGCGTCAGAGAGTGGTTCGAGCGATGCCTAACTATTGAGAACGATGACGACCGGATGTTGACCGGAGTCTCTTCAACACTGGCTCGTCTGATAGTGTTATCACCTGGAGCACTTTTAACTGTATTTTTTTTACGAAACGCACGTCTAGTTTTAACGACATGTACACCTGAATAATTTCAGCGCGTTGTTTTGGTGTTGTGGTTGAAATTGTACTGAAATGACGCTACCAACGCGGTATGACATTAGTCGATCTGACAACTGATCTCAAAGATATAGGGTTGCTTGATGCTTCCACTTTAAATGGCCCACCTTGTAGATGCTACGATTACTTCAAAAATACTTTATGTCATAACTTAAATAAGTTACAATACGTTTTTCCTTAATTAGAATAATCCTTAACATGTACATTATTCCACAGCTGGACGACGAGGACGACCTAGGCCCCTGTGGCCCCTACCCCCCTCCACACCTATCTGATGATTCAGACTCTGATGATTCGGATCCTGAAAGGGGGCCAAGGGTCCTCAACGGCCATTTCGGCAGGCCCATCCATATGTTGCATGTTGACAGTCGAAACTGACACACAGGAGATGTCTTCACCATAAATTCTTCACCGTTCAGGTAACTTTTGCTCCGCCCAAAAGACCTACAGTGATCGATGGTCTGTCTCGACTATGAAGTAGTTAGAGAGCAGGCATGGTAGGCGACTTCGGTGAACGAAGTCTCATAGATAAACGCTGAGATAAAGCTTAGAAGAATATTTCGTTCTCACTTTCTAAGGTTGGATAGTTTAGTCCTTTGCATTGAAAACATTGTCCAAGTTGGTACTATGAACGCGGTGATTATAACAGTTACGAGTATCCTCAGTAACAGATCTTCCAGATAAATTTCAGTCAAAATGGGTTTTCCCAGTTGACACCTCAAATTATACAGGGTTACAGGGAAATCGTGGCGAATATTTAAGGATCACTTACCGACTAATTTAACAATATACTCATCATGTTTTCTGGCCGTTAAATGAAACCGCATATTTAGGATTAACTTTTTACTAACACTTCGGCCTCGTCGGTGGTCGAAAGCACATATGGAATTTTTAGTACATTTATTGGGGTCTTTACAACAAACGTTTTCAAAGCTGACTTAAGTATATAGACGCAAGTTGTGCATGAGTAAATGTGTATGCAATGTAGGAAATAAATTCAGAATTGATGCGATAAATGTCTAGGTAGATCTTACCAATATCTGATATAACTCAAAACTCAGAATAGATTGCTACTTACTTCTACCTTTCATGAAGCCATGTTGGTTATTGGTAAAGTATTTATTGGATTGGAAAAAATTTATAAGACGGTTGTTATAAGCAATTTCAAATTTTTTTTAGAAATTTATCAACAAGCTAGTAGCGCGGTATCATCAGGATCGCCTTTTTTATAGATTGGTAATACACGTGCCATTTTTAATGCTTCTGGGAATTGCCCTTCACTAAGAGATGTATTTAAGATGTTAAGAAGAGGATCAGATATCATGGTTATTATTTTTTTAATGATAAAAATTGAAATGTTGTCGTCACTTTTTTTCTGAGCAATTCATCAGGATCTATTGGAGTTAAGAATATTGTTTTATTTTTTAGTTTTAAGTCGCATTCATAACTCAAATTGGTTGTTATGAGAGGAGTTTTGGAGCAGCTTCGATAAACCATTCATTGAAATGGTTGGCTAAAGCATTTACATCATTATGTACAGGTAAGACAAACTGATCAAATGGTGTTTTGGGTGTGTTAGTTAATTCTCGCATTGCATTCCAAATTCCTTTAACACTATTGCCATGATTATTTGTTTTGTCTAAATAGTATTGCGATTTTGAATCTTTCAAGAGTTTCTCATATGTCTGATTACAACTTTTAAAAAACCTTAATATTTTATGTCATTTTCTAAAATTATTTGAAGAGCACTCACCCTGTTCCTGAGTCAATCCAATACCAGGATAATCCAAGGAGGTTTCTTGCTTTTCGCAGCTCGCTTTTTAATCTTCAGAGGAAAATGGAAATTTAATCTGCTTTGTATTATCTGAGAAAATATATCCCACTTTTTGTTTACGTCGACACTATTATATATTTCGTTCCATGATGCCGAGTTTAGATCTTGCAGAAAACTATTTATATGTGAGTCAGAAAAACACTCTAATCAATTTTGGACTTATGACCGATATTGATATTGAGTGAAAAGAGGGCATTGTTGCCGTTTGTGGTCAGAAAAAAGTGCATCAATAATTTTAGACTGAAAGTTCACATCTGTTTTAATGAAAATATTGTCCAAACATGATTTGGAGTCATTATTATTATTGACGGATACGGCTGCTTCCCAAATTACTTAAAATTATCAGATATAGAGACTCAACTAGAAAGAAAAATAAGAAATGTTGCTTAAAGCTACCACTTTCAGAGAAATGCTTAAAAGTGATTTATCTCAAAATCGGCAAGCTGAAATCTGTCGGCAACGTCCTTAAATATTTACCCCGACTTTTTTTTTAACCTTGCACAAAAAAATTGCTAAAGCTTCAGTTAAAGTCTCTAAGCATGTTCTGTGATACACGATATTATCAATAGACGCATTTTTTGAGCTAAAACGTGACAACGACTGCCTAAATGGATTTGGATGGCCTAATATTCCCTAACTTTGATATTATGGATAAACATCTGAAGCGTAACTAGTAGGATTCTAATTTTGTTAAGAATATTAGAGAACGTTTTATGTTGTATTATATCCTAGAATATTATCATTTTCACTTCTCGGTATCATAAAAAATAGGACTTTACATATAACAAGCCAAATTTGCAGAAGATCTTTATAAAGGATGTTTTAAAAATGGTGTCAGTAATAATTTTGAAACGGAAAATACGTTGAACAGTATTCCTATAGGCATGAACCTTCCTTGCCAGAATGCAGGGTATTTTGACACCTCCAAAAATATTCACTATGCCACTGACTTTTTAGGAACACCAGTTGGCATCCTTTAAACTAAGAAATTCAATTTTATTTTGTATTAATTCTCTCCTTTGATAAATTTTTATCAGATCCGTTTAAGAACATGTAGAACCGTTCTTCTTAACAAGCACTCTAACGCTGGTGAGGTTTTACAGCGAAAATGGTATGTAGCATGATAGAGGTGTGCCGTTAGTGATCTAGAAAATGCTATTCACGATCATAGTGGCACATTTAACGTATTTTATCATTTATGTTTATAGGAACTTTTCATATTATTTACGGACGTTATGGATTGTTGGATGTGTAGAGGTAGAGAGTTTGATAATATAAATATTTTATTCAACATCTTTGAATTTGGACGTTTGTTGGCGGATACAAGATATAAACAAACATGGACCGTTGGAGTCTGGATCATAATGAGGACATCTCCTGTGTCCAGTGTAGTTATTGTTAACTAGAGTTAGGCTAGATGTTGTAAACAATTCTGTGTATGTTCATACATATTTTGTATATATTGTATATATTAAGATGTCCCGTCAAACGTAGTGATATGAAAAAGAAGAATTTTACCAAACATGAAACATGTTATTAGAACATTCGATTACACATTGCTTTTTTGAACAAAAGTAAAAGTATTCTAGTCAGAAATTGCTGTATACCATATATATATACAGAAGCATCAAGATATGACTGGCATGTATTATAAAAAATGTTTTAATGCTTCGTAGTTGATGTATCGGATTAAATCAGAACATTCCTTTCAAATGACCTACGTGACCCAGTGATTTGCTCACTGTAAATAAGAAAGCAATAAATCCAAAAGTATTTCGAAAATTCACATAGTATCGTAATAAGCTTTCCGGACTTATATCGTTTATATCTTATTTGCCAAAATGTTGATGCTTCTCGTACGTTTGCCCTATAAGGGTGGAAAATCGTTAAAAGCTTGTTGATATTAGGGTATGCCTAGCATATAAAAGCCTTGAAGGTGGAATTAAATTAGCCAATTACTACATAACGAAAGATACAATAATTACTTGGTAATATTCGTGAATGTTCATCTGTCATCTTCTTATTTCTTAGCACACTGCAACAAACACAGAATGAGTGCTATAAGAAGACCGTGATACAAAAAAATATTGATGAATTTTTGTTACTTTAAATTTACAATATAATTTCTGGAAGACAGATGGAATGCACATCTAAATGGATAAGGAAGCTTTCCTATCTGATCATAAGAAAAACAAAAACCATAAAACCGGGAATCCGATAGTTAAGGACATAGTAGCATAATTTCGAATGGTCCTCTTGGGATATCCGTTGAGAAAGCATTATAATTCACTCCAAAAAGCTTACATTTTATCACTTGCGATCACATCGTATTAAAACCCAATGACAATTATCTACACAGAACTTTAAATATTCGCAAATATGCTTAAATCAACTCCTTACTTCCTGATACTAATACTGCTATAGGCTAACGTCTCTATCTGCTAACTGCTTTGGCCCGGTCTTAACTTTTAGTTAGCTATGAAAAAGCGTTTTTTAATATCATGTTTATAGTAAAACGGTAATTAACTTCAATCAGAAGATCATCTATGAGTTAAATAAAAAGGCTGTAATTGAATAGCAATACCTAACTTTTGTTGTCACAGACTTGTGACATTTATTCAAAAATTCACAAATTCATATCAATTTATCGATAAATATAAATAAAAGCTAAAATATCTTATTGAATTATGACGTGAAAGCGTATAGCAGATACGAAGAGGCTTAAAAGCAAAAAATAATCCGGCATCGGCCGAATTACTTTGACGAATTTGACGACCTGGATTTCCTTGCAAAATTTCGTCTTACAAAAAGGACTGTAGAAACAAAACTTTTCTCTTTCCAGCTGAAGACCTGTATTTGTGTGTCGTACGTTATACATTTAATACCTAAAAGGTGGCAAACACGATATTCAACAGATATTTACAAACTTAATTGTATTTTAAGCGTATTTTTTGACCTACACACAATTTCCATAATCCCGCCTGTCGCGTCCACTACTAAACATTTGTACAAGCAAATACGTATGACGGTATGAAGAAGACACAGACGTCGAGTACTCCAAACGCCCATAACACGATATCCAAGAACCGCATATGAAGAGTTGCAACATAAATATAGTATAATGAACTTCTGGTAAGTTAACTGGCGCTGTCAAAATACCTTAAAAAGGCATTTACAGGCAATTTCCTGGTTATTTTTAACTAACCAAAAAGTTATCTTGCTATTAAAAAACCAAGGCTCAAGGTGGCTGTAAAAACCTTGGGTCTAAACATAGACTTATCAATAGCCCAGTCAAACTGTATTAATTGTTCACTGTATTCTGAAGAAAATGAGTCACTTGCTTTTAATTCTCTGCATTCAAATCAATTATTTGGAACAATTAGCGCTCTTTAATCTATTGCGCTTAACAGAAGTTCAAAATGTATACAGGTAATTATTATTTAGATTTGTAAAATAAAGTGAACAAGAGTAAAGAGACCACAATATGTCGCAAAATAAACAGAAGTTAACTCAAAAGGCTTTTGATGAAAAATATTCCCAACGACGTTGTTTAAATGACCTGCTGCTATGCCCTTAAATTTATTTATACGAGAACTGCTATCAATTTGAAAAGAACATTTTGAATTTTTATTTTATACACTATTCTGTGTTTGTTGTTGAAATGTTATCTGGTTTTGAGGTTATTATCATGTGTAATACGTGTATAGAAGTCATCCCTGTAATAATAATTGTGTGCCTCTATAACTTTTATAAGAAGCATAACTACCAATAAAGCGGAAAACTACTTAAGAATCCAAGAAAAAGTATTGCCAAATTCGTTGTGATAATGTTTGATTCAGTTGGTTTACTTCGAGTGTATCGTATAGCATTGATCATCTGTTGTAAATCTAACCTGCTTTGGGGCTTCTGAATAAGTTGAATATCTAAGTACAAGTTTAAGGTACTTACGAGTGGTATCTCAGAAGAATTAGTATTATTTTTATTTACAGTTGTCCAGTGAGCTTTCAAAGCTTACGTGTGTACTTACAATGTTGACGGAGATGACAACGGTGACAACTTATTCAGTAATCGCGAAGTAGGATTAGAATTTACCATTACGATATCTATTGTACACATCCGCATTCACAGAATATTTAGAAATCAAATTTTTCGGTCTTAACAATTAATGCACCTAAAAAATTCTTACTACAGTGCACACAAACATCTAGAATTTCTATATTTTTGATGTAATATTTATAGTATCGTGTTTTTCAATATGCCTCCCTATATGGAAACCTTTACTACTAATGTTATAAAATATTTTGTATATCTCAAATGATTTACTCCATTGTTAGTAAAAAGGTATGCTATGAGTTTTTTTTTAATCAGATCTCATACATCAACGATACTATATCAAACGGTGTATCCAGAACCACTGATACAAGATCATTAATTCAAATGTAGTCTACAAAATTTTGATTGTGTAATGGTAGAACAATAGCTGTGGTACATTTCTGATAAACATTGGTTGTAAACATCTTGCCACTGATTTTCCTGCAGGTAAGAAGATTCCTTTTATTTGAATTATGTGATCCTTTTAACAACCAGATCATGGTAAAGAAAGATGACATACCAAAGTTTCGGAATCGAAAGAAATGAAGGTTTATAAATCATACATTTAACGAATTATTCATTTCCATCCTATTCAGTACCTGTTTAGGTTTAAAAGAGATTTAAGCTTACAAAACGTAAACCAAGCAGTACTAGGATATTCTTATGCATAAGTACAATACTCTTCCATCGACTGAAAATAGTTTTTTCCACTAAAGTGTTGCTGTAAAATTTGTTCATTGAACAATTTTTATTCTATTGTCATGATCGAAATCCATACTTTCTGCATATGTCACTCATAACAAACAGAAGCATGTTTCTGCATGTCAAATGTTGCAAACTTATAAATCGATCAATATTGTCAGAAAATGTTTAGGATATTTTCCGGCTACAATATTGCGGAAGGAAAGAAGAAGGGTGATTGAACTTTTGGTTTGTACAGAGCATATCCACAAAAACTGAGCTACTTGATAAAGGAAGGATACTTCAAAGAATTGCGAGGTCCATCAAGAACGTCAACATAACCTCCTTACCCTATACAAATAAGAACCCTGCTCCATGATATCAATTCAATTTGATACCTTTATTTTATATAGAATAATATTACCTTTGGCTTACATATAAACAATGAAAACCAACAATATGTTGCTTCTATATACATTCAAAATACGTACTTCTTAGGAAAGGGGTGAAATACGAGGAGGAGGATAGGGGTAGGTTAAAACTTTCTTACAAGGTATAACTAGAGAGATTGTGGAAAAACGTTGCTGTTTTGCTGACCTTGAGCAGTTCAAATATTGAATTAACAAGGTATCATGAACATTTTGCGCAAAGTATGGTTTTCGGTTCAGAAATCTAAGATGTCGTTAAAGGTTATTGCAACCAATGTAATATTCGAATCTCAAAAATAATTACTCTGGGTTTTATTATCAACATAAGGTTTGCTCAGTTTATTCCGTGATATGAGGGTACGCATGCGCATCTGTGTTTTTAAGATTAGGGTCTTTTTGTTATCATGCTAAAGCATATAAAACTAGGTGGTGTCTTTCAAGAAAGCGAAGATGAGCTTATAAGTCTTACGATAAATAAACATTTGTTATTCTCTAAAATGTATAAATAAAACTTCTCAAACAGGAAGTCTACTTAAAGCTACTATAAGACTGTTCACTTTGATTCTAATATTAGCATCATTAAGTTATAAATGTTTAAAACACAAATACTTTGAAATTAACGACTGTGCGAGGCAGGCTAGATTATATGATATGATCACTCTTCTATCACTTATATGTCAAGATAACACAAATATGGAATCACAATAAGCGAAAGGTTATGCAATCGGTCCTGAACAGCGTTTTTCGAAAAGCTCCCTCTTCGCAATTGATTTTCGGCGCAATGAAATTGTCGCATGAATTCTATATTTTAACGTAAAAAAACACTTGAGTTTAAAGATAGCGGATAAGCGTTATTTTGGAACATGCTTGTGAATGGAATAGGGGGTCGCACGATACCTCATTTTCAAGCTACTTATCATTGCTTTGTAAGCCTAAACTACAAGAGCGGTTCAATAAGTACCCGTGTTAGAAATGAAAACATCATTTTCTGAAATATTTCTTTTTATTTTTCAACATATCCCCCTTTTAGAAAGATACACTTTTCTCACCGTTCCTGAAATTTTTAGCGCATTCCGAGTTTCAGCCTGCTTACTCGATCCATTCAAAAAATAAGTGGAGAGAAGGACTTTTTCAAAAGCACTGTATGTGTACTTTCCTAATACCACAGAAAAATGTTTTGATGTTACCTCAAAAGTAAGCTCCATTTATTGAAAGATATTCTAATCGTACGTCAAAAAGCTCATCTATGCTTTTAAATAGTTTTTTGAGCATTACAATATTAGTTTGTTGTTCCTCTGGAAATGATATGTGATTGGATTGTTCACGTATAAGTAAATAGATTGTAATACTATCAAACGAAGTAAGACTGTTGTTCTGGTAAAGAATTCTAAATTCTTTATGTAGAATGTAGGGAGAGGGATTATTATGTACTTATTTAGGAATAAAACGTTCATGATGCAAAGAAACGCGGCATTTTATTTAAGTTTTGTTCCCAATACACTGGCAAAACTTCGCTCCTGCGGTAATATGCGCAAGAAGTATTATAAATCCTATACAGATACTCTGATTGGTAACAGCGATTAGAATATTGCAATTCTTGAGCATCTCCCAGCAATATAAATGTTTTACTGCCTTGAATACATGCTATTAAAATATTGTATTGTGTCGCGATGAATTTGGAATTTCTGAGTATGTAGGTGGAAAATCTGACGATCGTCCCGTACCAATGACTTGCAAAACTGATTTTTATCCTCATCCCATGTCATGGAGATGACAGGAGGACCCTTACGTCCTCTAGCTCATAACCGCTCGACGTTCTGCGCTATGCACAGAGATATCGCACCGCACTTCTTCTATCACAGTCGACTGTCTTTCTTTCACACATCCCACCACGATAATGCTTGCAGCATTTAAATGATTAAAAGATGCCCACTATGAAGTGGTGCGTGGCGTTAGGATTTCATACCGAAGGTATTACTTATTTATCCTCTTTAGTACACATGCATACTTTCATACTTATATATATATATATATATATATGTGGAATCGAACAAAATACTCGTAGAAGCCTGCTGTTGTTTTGCTGGTCAATTTTTGTTCTGCCATACCTTACTCAGCATCATTCGCCTCACTGTTGGTTGAATATCAGTCCACTTTCCCTTACGTATATGCGTGGCAAAATTGTCGGTAGTGAGCCTCTCGCCGAGCGTTAGTTCCCGCTATGCCTGGGAGTCAACTCACCTACTCCTCCTCTTCAGTGCAATATACGCAATTGGCGTATTCTCTTTCCTTTCCTCTTCAAGTAGCTGTCAAAACAGCCACGACATGTGAGGAACTGTGCAGTATAGTAATCTAGCCGCACCGCTCCTTGTCAATCCAATTTTTAATATCTGGGATCAGCCTCCTGCTCCATGCACCATGGCCAGCTACATCCCATCCCTCCTGCCATCTGACAAAAAACACCCCCCTTTCGTCGCTGCAGCTTCGACGCCCCGTTCTAGAGTGCACATCTCTGCAGCCAGCAAATCTATTGGCAAGATACCAGCTACCACCAGCAGCGCATCGATAGTCACCGTTCTGTAAGCGCCTACCAATCGACTATTAACTGTTCTGAGTACAAAGTTCTCACAGAGCAAACAAGCAATGGCTTTCTATGAACTATTACGGCCTGACCCTATGGGCTCACATGGTCCGGGATCAGGGCCCTGGCTTGATATGATGAGGCCACCAAATGCAGCAAAATCAAAATGTCTAAGTACCCTATCAACACGGCTATGGATAAATGCAATAGAAAATGCTGAAATGTACATGTTTGCTTTTCATCTCTCTAACCATGATCAGCAACAGACGCTGTTTCGTGCTCATTAGCAACTAATCAATGAGCGGATATATCTTGCATATTTTTTTCTATGAAAAATTAATGGATCAGAAGCAGAATCCCTCAATATGATCACACTAGTTTATAATTAGAAATTACACTTTTTGTCCAAGTTTTTTAACACTCAATTTCGTGAAAATCGCAACTCAGCAATGAATGATCAGTAAAAAATGAATCTAACCAGTTATAAAATAATCATAACCAAAATACTATATCTAGAATTACAGAAATAACCATGGAAACATTCAACCTGCTTGGGACCATTTTTTTAATATAAGAAATAAATAAACCGTGTTTATTTTTACGATTACAAACACACAACGAGCTACGAAAAATAGAAGGTTCTAGTGATGGTAAAGGTAAGGCAAGGCTTGGGTATTATAACCAAAAGGATAATAATCGCTTAGTAATATTCAGTTATATTCTTGAAACTCATGTTGGTCGTTAATCTCACATCTCACACTTAATTTTTTATATCATAATTTAAAACGTTATCTGTGCAAAAATATAATATGACGTCCATTAGAAAGAATAAAAGACGAAACGTTGTTGAAATTCTATTTATGCCATCTTGCAGAGGGGAAAAAGTGGCAATGTTAATGTGCAATTTATTTTGAAATCCCACTACAAATAAAGTTAGGATAAAAATAAAACAATTTTGGGAAAATTCTTTTTTTTCTGTCTCCTTCCGGAGGTACTTCGAGTTTTGAAACTTCCTATGCGGCATTTTGTTAGTTGCCTAACGCACCTTTGCCGCCATTCAAGCGGCTTGGATCCCAGTGGTGAGGGAACAATTTGAAACACCCGATATAGGTGTACCTGTATAAGTAGTCATTCCTGATGATTCAGTTGGAAAATTAGACCAATACCGCAGAAATACTTATCGGACCAGTTGATCCCAAATTGCTATTCCTATAATTTCAATGAAATGGTGGATGTGCTTACTGAATGATATCAACTATTCCGTTCAAAAAGAGGTGAATGCTAGCACGTCTCTGTGTCAGATAACCATCCAGCAGAAATTTTGAAACATAAAGGATTCTTGCTCTTACTGCTAGTAATTTTGGACACCCTATAATTCTACATGCTAGTGCATTCTAGCTTGAATCTTTACATGTGATCTTCGAATAAAGGCGTGTATCAAAACCTTTTTCAACTTGGCTAAATGAGTTTTCGAAAGCGACTTAATAAAAGGCATCTGTTATGAATTCTTTAGAAGTTGCTTCTGCGCATTTCCTGAATACTTTGTGTGTGTGGCTTTAAAAGTAGAATAGCGACTACCTCTCCCTTTTCCCTATACACTATTAAATTAAGGAAGGGAGTAACAGCAGGTGAAGGCTAACCAATTTCCCGTTGTCCATTTGACAAACCAGGTCACCGGGACTGGCAGTCCAATTATGTACCTTTAACTGCACACAATTTACTATTTAGGTCACAAGATTCATATTACAATTTATTTTAGGATTGGGATTTTTTTCGTCATTCGTAGACACATACGAGTACAGTGAAATCCATATACCACTGTCGTCGTAATGTGTACGAGAGAGAAGCGTGCAATACGTATGATAGAAAGAGTTTGAAGCACCACGTTGCCTAGCAACCCAAGTGACGAGGCCACGGACGCAACTGCGGCGTTCCCATGGGCACACGCTTGCTAATATACATATTGCACGTTTCTCGCGGTTCCCTCTCGTACACATTACGATGTCAATGATATTTGGATTTCTCTGTATAGCCAAGTTTACAACAACAACAACAAATTTTTATTTGCAAATAACTATGCAAAACACCCACAATTTGTGGTGAAATAACGTTATCAACAAAAATACTAGAGAGAAAAAACTAGTATCGTGCTAAATAATGATTCAGACAATCAGGCTCTAGACCTTTTTTTTTTAACATATAATTGGCATTGGAAGTTATCCATTTGCCACAGATGTGTGTTACTTATATTTCTCTAATTATGGACAAACACACGACGTCACAACATCCATGGCGAAGGCGAGATTCGAACTCGCGGCCCGGTCGGCCGGCTGATCAGTAGCACGACACTCTGACCAACGCGGCCAACCGAGGCCCCAGGCTCTAAATCATTGATTCCCAAAGTGGTCTATATCGACCCCTAGGGGTCTATGACAACCTGCAAGGGGTCTACGTCAGCGAAAAAAATTTTGGGTTCCATGAAATGAATATGGGGGTCCACGATAGTGGATCTCAACACATACACTGATAGTACCTATTTACTTACATCATACTATCTTATAATATCAAAACATATACATTATTTATAAAAGTACCTATGAAGTAAAAAAATTATTATATATGTTTATAAAATTTTGTAAGATGTAGGATGTTGGTATTCGCTTTGTGGTCGCAATACATTTTGAACTTGTAAAAACCTGAGAGTCGCAGTCTCAGAGCTTCGCTACCTTGCAATGACTTGTTCAATTCGTCACTCTATAAATACGAATGTGGGACAAATACGTTTATTCGTTTCCTGAATCTTGAAAAGGAAAGTGCTAAGAAAATATTTTTAAAAATATAAACAGATAGTATATCACACAAATTATAGTGAGTCAGTGTTATTTTGTTTGAGAGTGCTGGAGAAAAGTAAGTACATTATTTTTTATTAAATTTTAGTTTTGTACTCGTAGTTAGCAAAGATAGATAAACTACGCCAGTCATGAATTTAGTTATTAGTAGTTTAATATTCAATCATGCAAAATTACACGAGTACTCCTCAATAGTTTCTTTTTGATTGTATTAGCAATCGGTAATATAATTACAGTGCGTAATTCGAGCTAATTGTTGCAAGAAGATGTTCGAATTATGGAATGTTTTCGGAAAAATCAAAAAATATTTTTAATATACAGCTGCTGGATTTTCTGTCTTACTTAAATAATTTAATTTTGCCCACAGATGACTGATGCCATGTCCGAATCTAAAAAGAAATGTAGACAGTACAGTGTTGATTATTTGAAATTTGGCTTCATTCCATCATTGCCGGACAAACAATCGCCTATATGCCTTTTATGCAACAAAGTTTTGGGCAATGACGCTATGAAACCATCTAAACTGCAAGATCATCTGAGAAGATGCCACCCTGATAAAACAGAGAAAGATTTGAAATACTTTCAAACACTCAAAGATAAATTTCACTGGACAGAATGTTCGCTTCGACGTCATAAAGAAATGATGATGGTTTGCGGGCGTCTTACAATATCTCGTTACCGGAAAACTGCATACTATCGGAGAGAAGTTAATTTTGCCAGCCGTTGAAGAGGTTTTAAAAACTGTTTTACACAAACCTGCATCTGATATCATTAAAAGAATTCCCTTAAGCAACAATACTGTTGAAAAACGTATTGATGAAATGAGTTCTGATATTGAAAGCTTCTTATGTAATTATTTGCAAACGACCCATTTCTCTATACAACTGGACGAGTCAACTTTACCTGATAATGCAGCATTATTATTGGCATATGTTCATTTTATTATGAATCAAGAAATCTACGAAGAACTGCTCTTCGCAAGAACTTTGATAACCGACACTAAAGGTGAATCAATATTTCATGTTTTGAAGGATTA